CCATTGTACTCGTGTCTGCTGGGACTATGCAGGCAGGGAACAAGTTGTAGTCTGCCAAGAGCAGTCATTGCTTTTACATCTATCAGACATAATTACACAACCAGGTATAGAAGTCAGGAACCAGTGTGTAGTTTATAAATGTCTGTAAACCGCCCATGGCAGTTGCTGGCAGTTGTAGTTATAGGAAAGCTATATTCCTTTTTGCTGAAGTACCTCAAAGCCTGTCTCGGGATTTGTGTTTGCTGGGTGGCAGATACTGCAAAGACTCTCTATGTGGCACTAATCAGATAATAGATAGCAGGGTTGTATCAGCTTGCTTTAACTGCATTGACCACAGGATGCGATTTTAAACTCCCTCTCTCTTACTTTACTGAAGAGAATCAGGTAGACAAAAGCCACACCTGTTTTTCTGTAGGGGGAGCACATATACATAATATACTATTCACAAAGCTTTATTATGAGCTGCTGTTCCCCTCCAAAAGACGTGCATACCGATGTACCTTAGTAAATGTGTATGTGCCTATGTAGCTGTGGTAGTAAAAAGAAAAAGCTGTGAACAGGAAAGGTTTGACTTTTATAATTTCAAAATATTTAAGATTTGAAGATTTCTCGTTCATCACATTATTTTGCTGTTCTGAGGGGAAATAGTTGAAAGTCAGCAGGAGGTTGCTAGACAGATTTATGCTGTTTATTACAGAGACTGGAGAGACCCAGTGGGATGGTGATTTTATGTTTGGAACTGCCTGACACATTGGTCTGGAAAGGTCCCTCAAAATTGGAATATAAAACCAGTTATGCTCCTGCTTACGTCCCTAATGCTGGGATTGCATGCAGTCAAGTACAGACAGCAAGCTCAGTGAGCTGAACAGAACATCAAGCCCGGTAGTTTTATCATAGCGATCGGGTTTGGGCTGAAATGAGCTGGCTCTAAAATAGGAAGTCAGCTAACTCAGAAGGGATGAAAGTTCTGAATCTTGTTTCTCTTAGCCAAAGCATCGCACTGCAAACTCAGAGGGTGTTCTCCCTTTTGGAAAGGTCAAAACCCAGCAAGGTGGTGGTAGTGGGTTTCTGACATAGACGTGGCAGAAATACTTCTTTCCAGTGTTAGCAAGTAATGGTTGCTGGCAGATGTCAGATTCTAGTTGTCTCCTTGACCTGGATAGTAATGTTTATTACTTGGGTAGGAATTAAATGCATTTTTAGGAGTCTTCTCTAGAAAATGTGTTGTTCAATTGCATCAGTATGGAGTCTTGAAGTGTTTTCAAGGCTTCTGGATATAAAATAACGGTTCTCTCATGCACACAAATGCATCCAGTATAACTAAGAAATAACTTGCAGCTGAGAATTTGGCCTGATTGTATATGGGAAAGGGAGCAAAGCAAAAAAACCTGCTTGCTGCAGCTTCTCCTCGACTGTTGTGTTGTCTGACACAATCCAAGACAGGTTGGCTTGGCGCGGGGGTGGAAAAGCCTGGATCGACTGCCTGGACTTTGCCTAGCTGTACAATTGCTTAGTGGTCCACAGTGGTAGTAGAGATGAGGTGTTAGCAATGACAAGAGATTTTGAGAAATACTCTTGGGCAGTAGAAAATTTATTTCAGTTACCTGTTTATAAAGATAGCAACGGCTATTTCAGTGCAGCTGAAGCGAAGGAGGTTGATCCCTTCGATAACAAGGGTTGAACCCCAAATGGGTGGAAAGTAGAAACATTTAAAGTGTGTGTAAATTGCAGCAGCTTAGCAGTTTGGCTTAACCTCTTGATGCAGTTAACCACGGCACCTCTGATGGTCTGGAGTCTACGGAAGAGATTGTGGCAGCATTTCCTGCAGTTCTCCCCAGGAACAGGCTTCTTGGTAATTGTCTGTTGTAGTTTTGGCTCACTTCAAGTTAATTCTCTTCAGCTTTGAGTTTGTCCTAGGAAAAGGGAAAGTCCAGCAGTCAATACAAGATGTTCCTTTCCTTTGGAAATCTTGCACTTGCCCTACAAAGCATGTTGGATAGTCTGCTAGCTGTTAAAGCAGCCCTGAGGTCATGCAGCCGATGCGTCTGAGCTCACGGATCCCCTCTCCGTGCTGTCCTTGGCACAGACAGAAAGACGGTTTGCTGGCTGTCCAGGAAGGAGTCATGTGGAGAGGAAATGGAGTGGAATGTAATGATGGCTTCTCCAGCTCCTGCTCATGAGGCCAGACCTGAAGCTGATTCAAACCAGGAGCTGCATAGGTTGTAGTGGGACCAAAGACTTTACGTTGAGGGAGCACGCTGATCTGGATTGAGGCTGTTTGTAGACATGCAAAAGGGAGCCTGGAAAGAAATTGTTCATATTATCCAGGCAGTCAGATTGGGTTAGGCTGATGGACTGTCTCCTTGAAAGGCTCCAGACTGAAAGAGGTTGTTCACAGTGTTTTCAGCTGTGGTTTCATGGGAGCAGGCACGTGTGTGTTGATATGCTGAGGACAGCAGCAAATGTAGAGAGAAATAGTCTTCATGTTACTGTTGTATTGGTTCCTGATAGGCAGTGTGCCCGAGAACCTGTTTTTTTGGTGTGTGGGGTTTTTGTGGTGGTGTGGTGGTTGGTTTTTTTTAGGGGGGTGGTGGTGGGGTGTGTGTGTGTGTTGGTTTTTGTGGGTTTTTTCTTGTTGTTGTTTGGGGTTTTGGTTGTGTGGTGGCTTTTTTTTGGTTGTGTGGGGGCTTTTTTTTGGTTGGTTGGTTAGTTGTTTTGTTTTGTTTTGTTTTTTTACCTCAGTGGGAGAGCGCAGGGGTGATGCCTTCTCCTTTGCTGCAGGAGGATTTCTCTGCGTACCTTAACTCTGGCCCAAGTTCTTTTTATGTGCGTGTTGTGGAAACTGTTGTTCTTTTC